GAGAGAGAGAGAGAGAGAGAGAGAGAGAGAGAGAGAGAGAGAGAAAGAGAAAGAGAGAATCTTATTCTCTCACGATGAATTCATTTAACCGATAACGTTTCTTCCTCATGTTTTTTAATTTACGTAAGCAATTAACGTTTCATCCGCTTATGCGAGCGTATCTTTGCACCTGCAATGCGGTAGAGTCTTTGGTGGGCCATCGACATACTATTTTGCATCTTTTTCTTTTATTTCTTTGATTTATCTTTTTTACTTCTTTTATCTTTCTTGCTCTTTTGTATGTTTTTTCTCCCTCTTTCTTTTCTACTGACAAAAGAACTCACTGATTCGAAAATGTACAATGGAATGCTTTAAGAAAGGAAGAAGAAGAAGAAGAAGAAGACCAGAACCACATTTCTAAACCAGTTTTAGAACCCACAAATTTGACTCACCCTCCTACTCACTATACCGTTGTAAACCACGATCGTTCGATATGTAGATAGAACAGGAGTACCTAATACTCTCCGTTGGAAGACGTAACGAGAAATGAATAGAAAGATAAAATTCAATGACTTCTTTTTTTATTCTCCTCTTTTTTATCTTCTGTTTTTGTTCTTTTTTATTCTTTTTTAGCTTCGAGAGTAGAATGAAGAGAGAAAGAATAAATAACATAATTTTACTCGGATAAAATATACTACAATTTCGTATCATTTGAAATCTAAATTATTATTCCCCCACTTCATTTCTATTTCAATCTTCTTATTATCTCTTATAACGCTTATTATTTTTCAAGACACACATTTAATAAATAAACTTAAGAAATTATTTGTATTATTAGTTTAATTCTTTTCTCGTGATTTATTCGTATTTCTAATAATTTCTACGAATACATAAATTAAATTGAATAAATAAAAAAATATATCGTGCGACTCGAATCTTTGCGAGATACTATTTGCATGATTTGATTTCTTTCTTTTTTTTTTTTTTGAAGTTTCTTCTATCACGTCGTTGATAATACTATATTTTTTTGTACTTCTTACGAAAAACTAGAGTTTATGTACCTTGTATCTCATATATATATATATATACTACTTTACCGTTTACTTAATGCATAACTTACAACTATACAGCTATTTGTATTATATTTACATAAACGAATAGACCGACTGTCTCGCATCTGGAATACTCGTCTACTCATAATACCGTTGTCCAACGATGACCGACGCGTAAAAAGATGTTGCCTTCTTTGCTAAGGAACGGTCATGGCAAAGTAGTAGTAATAGTTATGCAATATCTTACGAACCGACGACGGATAATGCACGACTTCATAGAATTTCTATGCTTCTACTAGCTCTCTTAAGGATTATGCACCTAAGCATGATAGCTTTATTGTCATTAATCCACGACGTAATGATTAATGGAATAGAATGCAACAAAAAAAAAAAAAAAATATTACAACGCTAACATTTCTCAAATCATTTTTCTCTTTCCTTTTGCAAACTTTTTTTTCTATTTAAAGATAATCAATTGAAGAAAAAAAAAACATAAAGTAAAAAAAAGAAAAAACTTAAAAAAAAATGAATAAATTAATATTATTAAACAAATTTCTCACGAAAAGGTGATTTTATTTTCGATGATAAAAACAAAATATAGATACATTTCAAACAGGAAGGGACAATAAATGTATGCGATTACTGTTTGAATTAAAATTCGTATTACCGAAACGCAATGGCGGTCTAACATGCGAGCAATCGAGCGTCTACACCTGCAAACGCGAATATTCGAATAACCGACGAACCTTAATCTTCTCGTTTTATTTTCTTCTTTATTTTTATCTACGTATACATTTTTATATTGGGGTTGCGTTCGTTAGTAGGAAGGAAAGAAAAAGAAAAAAAAAGGAAAAAAAGAAAAAAGAAAGAAAAAAGAAAAAAAAAAAGGAGAAGAAGGGAACACGGCGAGAATAAACCACGAATTTTAACGAGGAATCTTTCGTAGTCCCTGCTTTGTCCCGTTTTACCGCAAGCAGCAACAGCTTTGGTAACTTTTGAAGTAGAATGAGAGAAATAACAAAACAAGTAAAAAAAAAAAAATAAGTCGTTTCTTTTCTTACGGTCGAAAGAAGAAGGGATTAAGAGAGAGAAAAATAAAAAGAATATCAACTAAGAGAGAAAGAAATGATCTTACGTATTGTTATTAAAATGATATCTCCGATGAAGATGTCAAAGAATAAGGAAAGAACGTTTATACACGATCATCGAAGAGTCAAACTTATTAGGGGGCCTCTCGCGTGCCCTAAACTCGTCATTGTTTACATTACTTTAGAATAGGGTATATGTTTACATATTTATCTACTTCACACAAAGAAAAAGGACAGGTATCGTTTCTACGAATTCATATTATGATAGATCTCTGTTATACATTTTTCTTTCTTTTCTCGCGTCTTCTTTATTACGTCAAAACGCGTAACACAATGTTGTTTATTCAGGTAATTGTGTTGACAGCAATCTGTCCCTAAAAATTCGTTTTGTCGAATCTAAATAATTAAACGTTCTCTTTTTACCCAGGATTCTTTTATAATTGTCAATATTGTTTTGTTTAACAATACCGTAATTGAATATTTATTATTCTAAATGAACGAAAATATTACAATTACATTAATAAATCTATATCTGTTTTTATTATATCGATAAAACGACTTTCGGTAAGATCTTATATGTATATGTATTTTGATTTTAAATAACGAGTTAAATTTAGAGATAAATACAGTTCGATTGAACAGGATCGAGTATTGTGAATGTTTGAATTAGGGAAATACAGAAAGACAGAAAGAAAAAAAAAGAACATAGTGCAAACCGTTTAAGAGAATGAGATTGTTTACTTACATTGATGTTTATTCACAATTAGACTGAGCGGTTCCGAGGTACCAAGTGGACTTTCCTTACCGCTGCAAGGGGAAGGACTTTTGCCAACATGTTGAGCTTCAAGAAGTCTCAATTGTTGCTGGTGAAGTCGATTTTTTATAAGAAAAATCTTCGGCATCTTTGCGAACAATGATTATGGTCCGCGCGCGTTGGCGGACACTGAACGAGTTAATGGTTTAAGAAGACAAAATGAAACAAAAAAAAAAAAAAAGAAAAAAAAGAAAATGAATTATTATTCACTTAACACACTTTTAGTAATCACCCCACGATTCCTATTTCGGAATCGCGGCACACCAACTGTGTCGATGACCTTCCAGGACTGTCAAGGTCACCGAATTTTTCTCCACCACAAGGTCCGAGCGCAAAGATTAAACGAATTTACGCATCCAACGATTTGCTCCTACTTTTTATTACTTTTGATATTTTTCGTCGACATAATAAATATCGAAAGAAAAAAAAAGAAAAACTAAATAGAATTAAACTATATGAACGATACCCCTCGTAGCGGTACGATTGACACTCTCGCGAGGATACGTTGCTAATAAGAAAGTATTTAATTTACTGAGAGAAGAGAAAAAAAAAAAGTAATCTTCAACGTATAAGTAATTGTAAAGTCCTGACAAACATCGTCCCGATGAAGATTTAATAATTGAATGGAATCCGATAAAGGATTCTTTATTAAAAAACTGACGATCCCGAAGCACTACATGCTAACGATAAATAACACCACGATGAAACATTCTTCTCAAATAAATTATCTCTTCTATGTCCAAGCAGAATGTTTGTTGTATACACTTATTTCTTCTCTTCTTCTTTTTCTTCTTTTCTCTGTTTTTGCTATATCTTCTTCTCTGTCTCTCTCTCTCTCTATATATATATATGTATATCTATATATCTATCTATATATGTAGGTACATATAAATATATCTATGTACTGCAGATTTACAGTTATTCTGCTAAGACCGACGTTCTACTCGGCAGACCCGATTGATCGATCTCTTATGAGCGACTGAAGCTACGTTGGGATCTCGAACAGGCCCCGACCGTGAGTTATCCCCACCATGGTTACTACCTAGGCTCCTGGCGGACCCTATAGCTTCGAGTGTTTCTTTACCCCCACTCCGACAGCCAGCAAATCCTGCCAACCCCTTCTTTACTTTTTCCACCACCAGCGCCTTATCCTCCTCCTTTTTTTTTTTTCTCCTCCTTTTTTTTTTTTCTCCTCCTACTCTTCTTCTTCTTTTTCTTCGTTACCACTGGCCGCTACCACTTTTGATGTCGTGCTTGGAGAGTACCAAGTATTTGGTTCTTTTTGCTAATACAGGTCCGCTGCTTCATAAAGGTGGAAACTACTCCACCGGGGGCGCGGTATTATTCCCTCTACTTATAGGGGCGCGCATGCGTATAACGGAGTATGTTTTATCTTCAATAAGAATTTATTCACATTATTATTTCTACCTATACATTGTAATTACAATTATATTTACTTATACAATATTATTTTTCCTCATTTATCTATTATATTTTATTCTATAACAAATTTAATATATCTAATATAAGTTTATTTTATTATCATCGTCAAAGAGAATAATAATTGAAATGAATTTTTTTTTATGAAACGTATCACTACTGTTCATAGTATTCTTCTGACACACATTTTTCAATAATAAATTTGAGTGTGTATTAATAGTCAGAAGAATAAACAAGAAATAGAAAGAAAGAAACAGAAAGAGAGAGAAAGAGAGAGAGAGAGAGAGAGAGAAAGATGTAAATTTGAAATTTTCCTCAAGTAGGTTTACACTTATATATATACAAGTGTATGAGAAATCTTGATGTTCTCGTGAATGTATGTGTACACCTGTAGATCGTGTTATTATTATGTGTACTCCGTGTGTATGAACGATCACACAGAAATGGCGATATACCAACTCCGTGTAGATGGCGGACAGGCAAGCAGGCAGGCAGGCCGTGGCAAGGTTAGGTTGGTTTTACCTTTGGTCACTATGCCAGTTACATCGCGAAGCGGTATATGCGTGGCGACTTGAGTTTGAATCGAACGACGAATACGACCCAACGCGACTACTATGACGATGACTATGTACTGCGAGTACGTGTGCACGTGCATGCGCGCTCGCGCACGCAACCGGGCAAACATATTCACAAGTATGTTTCTTTCTTTCTTTCTTTCTTTCATTTTCTTTATCTTTCTCACTTACGTTAGGCTTGTGTACATGTATCCTCTGTAAATAACGCATGGCGTGTTGCCGTTCCTGCATATTTCCGTATATTTCAGGATTCGTGTCAAACTTCGAATGCAGGGAGTGGTCCGAGAAAAAGATTCGCGTGGATTTGTATTATCGAAAAGAATAATAAACATTTCTTTCGAGTATTTGTTTACACGATTTTGACTATTGAGATTTAACGTAAAGGAAGAATAGTGAAGGTTTCGAAGTAATATATTTTGTTTAGTTGATATTGATAATTGATATCTAATGTTGGAAAATATTAATATAGTTTTCAATGAAGTATTGGTTTAATTGAGTTTTGTCAGTAAATATCAAGTATTATAATTAAGTAGTATGAGAAGGAATAATAAAGTCTGGTCTATAGCATTTGTTCAGTTGATTTTTCCACTAATCATCAAATGTCAAATAATCTGGAGGAATAATGTCTTCCTTATAATAATTTGTTTTTTATTAATTTTGTCAAAATAATTACCAAATATTACTATGAGGTAGTAGAAAAAATAATAAAATCTTCCCTAAAGTATTTGTTTAGTCCAAATTATAAATATTTAGCAAATATTACCATTAAGTACTATATCAAATCATTATACATTTTTTACAACAGTTGGTTAACTTCTATCAATAACTTCATTTCATCAAATAATATTAACAAAATAAGATATAATTTAGAGAAAGTGTATTCTGAATATTATTCGATTTACTTGATCTTGATCTAAAATTTTGAACAGTTATTAATAAACATATAAGGGATACAAAAAGAAGAAAAATGTAAATATCTCAAGATTTTAGAATCAGACACTTTTGTTAACCAACAGACTTTTGTCCTAATTTAAGTTCGTGGAAAACATTGAATTATGTGTATGGCCCAGCACGAGTCCACGAAATATCTTACGATCTTGGTGACCCTTGTATGAAAAATTGAAGACTTTGGGGATTTCTGAGACAAGTCGATCCAACTTCTCTACGTTAACGACTTTTTTCATCGGACGGCACATTCCAAGAATATAACTTTTGATCAATAATCAGATAGAAGAACGTTATGTTACATTCATTTTTATTTGGATATTTTATTATATTATTACAATATTTAAATATATTTGTTAATGTTAATAATGGTTTACATAAAACAAAAGAACAATAAAAATTGATTAAAATAAATGAGACAATAAATAAATGAGTGCTGAGTAATTTTGTTACTTGGTTGAATTTTTTTTTAGAATAAAAATACTCATGAAACATGTTTCTATTTTTCTCAGTCATTCTGTTAATATTAATGTTATCTTTTATCTTTTGCTACATAAAATAAATACAACAATAAATTAAAAAAGATGAGTAATTATTTTTCTCCGTTGAATATATTTTTAATAAAAATATGCTTACTGCGTGCATCAATTTTTCTCAACCATTTTGAAAATGAACATAACATTTTTCTTTTATCATACAAAATGAATAAATTAATGAATTAGAAATCCTGAGAAGATTGTATTCCTCTTTGTTAAATTATTTTTCCGATAAAGATTAATTTATTAATTTTTCCCAGCTATTGTTTATAAATTTACGCCCAAATTATCGAGTTTGTATCCCTTTAAAATTTTCTACATCAATCGAATAATAACCGACAGCGATGGGTGTAACTTTAGAGATATTAAAATCGAAAGGAAAAGTGCTCTTTCTTTTTCGGATGTTTTAAAAAAGAAGCAGGTAGTAAAGGTGAAAATTTCCCCTAGAAAAAGATCAACGATTTGTTTACCCTTGGCTCTGAAATTCTTCCCTCTCTCTCGGTGATCATGCATAAAATATTTTTCTTCCGTGGTCACACATGTGACTCACGAATATATTTTTCACTCGTGTCTAACCTTTCTTTTTCCTCGAATCTAATTTTTTATTGTTCCACGATTTAAAAGACTACAGAATTAAGAAGAAAAAAATAAGAATGTTGAAAAATCGGATCACGAGATCGAAGAAATCTTACATTCAATGGAATAAAATCAATTTTTCAAATTAAATTTGTTCCTTTTTATTTTCCTGGATACATTTTCTCTGCTCTAATCAAATCGAGATTATACTAACGAATTGGCTGATTCATTTTCTTTTTCTAGAATACATATATCTCATTACGCAAACGAGATGGGAGCTATTAAATCAGCATTCGTTTCTGATTCCATCGTCGTGACTTTAAAAGTGAAGAAAAAAAGAGCGTGATAGGGGGGACGGGGAGCGAAGAAAAAGGAAAAAAACAAGTACGCGTTAAAAACAGATACGTAAATCGAGAGAACAACTTCTTATTGGATTCAGGAAAAATAAAGAAAACGAAATTATTTTTCTAACACGCGTTTGTAATTGTGCAGATATAACAGACGTGTAAATATGAAAGAAATTAAAATTTGTTGTAAATTTGAAAATAAAATCATTTATTATCGAAAAAATTATATAAAATTATATAAAAGTGCCTAAATGCTTGAACATGTATTATCTGAAAAAAAAAACAATGCGTAGAAAAGTAAAATAAATAATATTGTACGGTTTAAAATAATAAATAAAAAAAAGTTAAATTAAGTTTTTTAGTGATTGAGGGAGGATACTTTTTTTGTTTATACAGGGTTGATCAATTGTTTTAAAATAGGCCAAAAAGTTTCAAGGTGATTAAACTAATTCAGATAGTCCTTTTCGAGATTTTTTAAGTATATCTTATTATTTTCTTCTTAAATATAAGAATTCTCCTAGGTTTATGGTTTTACAATTCGAAGGGGAAAAAATAGGCTTTTAAATTATTTATTAAAGATAATAATGTTGAAAATTAATAAATAAAACTCTCGATTGAAGCTCATAGAAAAGATTTAAGAAGACAAGTTGTTCTTTCTATCGAAATCATAAGAAACGTTTGTGCGTTCCATCAAAAGTGGTCCAACGAGAGAACATAGCCTACTTTCTCCTCTCCGAATATTTTTCTCTCGTTTGTACACCACCCATCTTATTTTCCGTCTTCTTGTTTCTATATTTTATTCTTGCTGTGATCTACGTAACGATTACTCGCCGTTGTATAACTTCACTTGTTTACACGTACGAAGTATACTTACATCCTTGACTCCTTTAACAATATCATACCATTTCTCGAATTATTATCAGTTTTTAAACGTTTTATGCTAAACAATTCTTTTTTTTAGAAATTCCTTAAGAAGCAAGATTTTTCAAAATAATTAATATTTAACTATGAATACTAATCAAATATACAACAAGAGAACAAACGAAAATTCATACTAATTTTTACGAATCAAAAATCATTAATCTTGTAATTTCATTTAATTAAAAAAATAAACTAAAAATTATTTTACATAAATCCCAATCTAATCTTAAATAAAAGTAAACCTTAAAATCTGTATCAATTTAAAAGAAAAAAAGAAAAAACAGTAAAGTATTTTTCAATCGAAAAATATTTAATATCTCAGCAGAGCCATTTAAATAATTCATAAACGATTCTAACAAAAAAATGAAAAAAAATTATTTCCCAGAGAAAGTTCTAAAAAAAATTCTAAACACAAAAATTCGCATAGATTAAAACAATATTATAAATATTCAAAATAATATTTATAACAAATATATTATCGATCTCTTATTACCACAACCTCAAATAGAATCCTAAACAAACCTTAATCCCAAGCTCAATTAAATTCCTCCCTTCTCCCTAAAAAAAAAAATTACAATCTCCGACTACCAAAAGGAATAAATAGAAAAAGAAAAAAGAAAAAAAACCAAGCAAAAAGATCATCGATCTAAGAAACTGTTTAGCAATGAGAATAGTATCTATCTAAATAGTACCACGAGTTACGGTAGCTCGAACTGACATGAGTGTTTTTCGATCGAACGATAAAACGCAAACTTGCGAGTACGAGAAAAGAACGTCTATATACACGTAAATATCTCTCTCTCTCTCTCTCTGTAAATCTATACACAAACGTATTCACATACGATGTATATTCCAATATACTTTTCAACGCATGTACATATATGTATATGTGTGTGTATGTGTGTGTGTGTGTCGAGAAGCAGCATTTTCTTATACGCGACTTGCGAAACCGTTCGTCGGCACGCGCAGCGTAGTCGTTGGTACTCGTTCGCGGTCGTGATCGTAGTCGTAATCAAGAGTCAAAGTCAAGGTCGAGATCGACAAAGACAGACAGACAACATAGAAAGACAGAAAGATAGACACAGAGAGAGAGAGAGAGAGAGAGAGAGAGAGAGAGAGAGAGAGAGAGAGAGAATACTACGAGAAGAGAAGCTCTTATGCAATTCTTGTTACTTACCGTCGATGTGTCGTTGTCGTATTTGTAGTTGGTCGAACGTTTGCAACAGGTGAAGTGAGAGGATGGGAGAATGATTACTGATGAGGATGACGATTACGATGACGATGTTGATGATCATGCCAATAGAAACTCTCATTCTATCTTTTCCCGATCAAACTTCGAGACATTTTATAGATACCGTATATTATATCTGAGATCTTATCTTTATCTTATTTTAATCGTTAAATAAAGATTCAAGGTTATTTCATTTATATACCTAACTAACTCGACCTACATTTTTCATTCGTATTTTCTTCGTTTCACTTTTATTTTTCTAAATTTTCATTTTCAATCGTTTGAAAAAATATCACAATCATAGAAACGAGAGTCTTCTTCTTCTTCTTTTTATTAGGACTTCGTCTTGTTATGATAGTTTCTTTTATTGCTACTTTTAGGAGCGATTTACTGTTTTTATCCAGGGTAGGTCGTTAGCCTCACCCTCAGAAACGAGAGTTTTAGTTGAAATTTTTTAATGATGTTATTTATATTACCTGTGGTGGATTAACAATTGGTCTTCTTATTTTAGAGTTTTTTTTTATTCCTTAAATATACATTGCTATAATAGAAAATTTGAAATAGTTTGTACAACAGATGTTTTAATTCTACAAAAAGGACTATTTAGTTAGAAATATAAATAGAACGATTATAATACAATCGGATTGGGATACCGTTGTTCCAAGGAGAAAATTACTTTCACCGAAAAAATATCGTCTTCTATAGAAAAGTCCTAGAAAATTCCTAAAGATATTTTTTCCTTTTCTTTTTTCCGGATTTATTTAATTAATTTCTCTACCAACATCTTCACACATTTGTATTATTTCACAAGATATGAAATAATACAAATTCCAATAATATTTTATAATAATCGATCCAATAATATAAAACCTAACTTACAATATATATATTAATAGAATTTAAATAAATCATTCAATTGATTATTTTACTATAAAATTTTTCAGTGTTCAAGATCGGTTACTCTCCTGGAAACTTAAATCACAAACACACGATTATTATAGTCATTACA